GAGAAAAGCCACTTTAGGCCTAGCCATGTCACCAGAGAGTTTTTCTACAGCAATAAGAGAAGCAATCTCAAGCTGATTCAATGACACTGAAAGTAATATCTACACAAAATATCACTTCCACATATTCTATTCTTATTTCATGTCCCTGCTTCTTTATTTTTACAGAGGTATTGATGGTTTTGTCATAGTGGCAATATATTTTTCCATGTATATTTCCCTAATTTAAAAGCAGTTGCATTAGAAGATATGATTAAAACAGAACTCAGAATTATCCAAGTGAAAATGACCCAGATTGACAAGGTTAAAAAAGATTGTGTTTCTTTTTTATCTTTACGTCATATATTGGCTAGAAAAAGTCCTTATATACAGAAACTTTAAATAAATACATAATGAATTGAATAGTATATGGTTCTTATGGACAAAATTGATAAACATATAAAGATGCATAAAATCTAAATTTTAGATTTTATGATAAAAAGATGTGATTTGGGAAGCTGGAGATATAGCTTAGTTGGCAGCATGCTTGCCTTGCATGCACAAGGGCCTGGGTTCAATCCTCAGCACCACAAAAAAAAAAAAAAAAAAAAAAAAAAAGATATCATTTTTGGATCCACCTAGACTCAAGAATCAGAGTTGATTTAATTTAATCAATTAAAGGATATTTCTTGGCATCTATCATCTATTGCTTTGTCACATATTCTACATAAAATGGATTGCCTGCCCTTGAAGAACTTGCAATCTAACCAAAAAAAAAATTGAACATATCTTGAGAAAGACATTTTGTTTCTGAACAAAATAGCCCATGGTTGAGGGCCAAAATGAGTATATAATCACTACAGTAAGAGTTTAAGGAACAGAAAAAATTCATGACATTTTGGGTCACCAGAGATGCCTCATAACAAAGATGATAATTGCACTGACCTGTAACAGATTAATGAATATGGCCAGCAATGAGGCTGAAATATAAAGCAGAAAAAATGACATGAACAAAACCAAAAAGCTAAGACTGATCATGGGCATGATTGTGGACAACGTTAGTCCAGTCTGTAATAAATTTCAACTTTTAGGAGGTGGTCAGAGTTTGGAGAGAATCGAATGAGTGTGTATCAACAGGAAAGCTCTGTAAAATACATGACCCAATGAATAAAACATGCTATGTTTGGAGATCAGGTTTTCAGTCTCTATCTCACTTAAAATGATTCCCTAACATAGTGTGGTTTATCTTCATGTTCTCACACATACAGACCTTTGAACTACATAAAGCAAAAATCTGGCCTACATAGTGTACCTAATGTTCCATTAAAATGACCATCAGCAGGCGCAAGGCAAATTTAGTCACAGTGCCATGTAGCTTTTGCCCCTTGTGACTACAAAGATAGCAAGAGTCCTCATTTCTGAAGAGAGGTGCTCTAATTAAAGCATTACTTCAATTACCTTAACCACTGTCCTAATATTTTATTTTTGTCAAGGGAATAAGAGGCAGTATCCTGTTTAGTCAAGGAGCCTTACAAAAGATAGGAATGAATACTGAGTGTTATTTGTTAAGAATCATTGAACTTAATACAATGACACATATGTTGAGCTCATAATTAAATGTAAGAAAGAATAGATTATTGCCTCAATAACTAAAAATAAAAACCACTTGCCTTTTACTCAAAAGTAGTACTGTAGTAGTTTTCATAACCCTTCCTACTTATTAGGGTAAATTTATCTTTCCTGCCTAGAGATCAAGAACAGAGAACTTTGGAAAATAAGTTGGATTTATATTTGAGGTAAGAAGATCCCCAATACCTATTTCCCTTTAGTAACAATTAGTAATTAATAACAGCTCCCAAAATTAGTCAAGGCATCTTTAGAATCAAAGATTTATAATATATACAATTAAAAGTACAAATACTATAATCAAATTAATTATGAAGCAAGACTCCTTACATTCCCTTAAAAGAGGTCTTAGTAAATGTCAACTCACCGACAAAACATTATTGGTTAGGAATAGATTCAGCTGCATATAGCAGTAGCTTAGTCAAATGGATATTTAGATCTTTTTTAAATAAAAGAATTCCAAAGGAAGGCAGGTTATGGCTCTTATTAGTGATTCCATGATGCCGGTTAGGATAAAGTGTTCTCCGGTTTTCTAATAAACATCCTTAGATGACTACCAGTTATATTGCGTTGTCCAGAACTACTAAAAAGTTTCTTCTCAGCAAAAGAAACAGTTTGTAAGGTGAATAGAGAGCCTACATCTTGGGAGCAAATTCTTACCCCTCACACATCAGATAGAGCACTAATCTCTAGGGTACATAAAGAACTCAAAAAGCTAAACACCAAAAAATAAATAAATAAATAAAATAACCCAATCAATAAATGGACCAAGGACCTGAATAGACACTTTTCAGAAGAGGATATACAATCAATCAACAAATATATGAAAAAATGTTCATCATCTCTAGCAATTAGAGAAATGCAAATCAAAACTATTCTACGATTTCATCTCACTCCTGTCAGAATGGCAGCTATTATGCAAACAAACAACAATAAGTGTTGGCAAGGATGTAGGGAAAAAGGTACACTCATACACTGCTGGTGGTACTGCAAATTGGTGCAGCCAATATGGAAAGCAGTATGGAGAGTCCTTGGAAAATTGGGAATGGAACCACCATTTGACCCAGCTATCCCTCTCCTCGGTTTATACCCAAAGGGCTTAAAAACAGCATACAGCAGGGACACGGTCACATCAATGTTTATAGCAGCTCAATTCACAATAACTAAACTGTGGAACCAACCTAGATGCCCTTCAGTAGATGGATGGATAAAAAATGGAATATTACTGAGCAATAAAAGAGAATAAAATCATGGCATTTCCAGTAACTGGATGGAATTGGAGAAGATAATGCTAAGTGAAGTTAGCCAATCCCCCAAAAAGAAATGCCAAATGTTTTCTCTGATGTAAAAAGATTTATTCATAGTAGGGTAAGGAGGGGGAGCATGGGAGAAACAGATGAACTCTAAATAGACCTGAGGGGTTGGAGGAGAAGGAAGGGGGCAGGGGGTTATTAATGATGGTGGAATGTGATGAACATCATTATCCAAAGTACATGTATGAAGACATGAATTGGTGTGAATATACTTTGTATACAACCAGAGATATGAAAAATTGTGCTCTATATGTATAATATGAATTATAATTAAAAAAGATAGGAATTTTTTTTTTTAATTCTGTACTGTGAGGTACAAGTTTAGAATAAAATACTGAAGGCTTTTCATCCAAAAAAAAAGCAGGCTGGGGAGTAAGATTTTTAATCATGTATGTTGCAATCTCAAATAAAAGTAAATAAAGATAGGAATCATGTAGGTCATTAGCAAAATCTACCAGCAGCCCAAATTCAGTATGATTATCATAAGACTCCAGTTATGTACTATGTTTGTTAAAGCGCTACTAAGTGAATTGGCTATGGAACACATAACTCCAATATCTAGATGCCACACAAGGTCCATTTTTCAGGTTTTTGTGAATTAGGTCATTTTGTGCCTTTAAGCTGCATCATTGTCTAATGGATTTCTTGGAGAACAGCCCAAGCACAGCTTGTATCCATTCACATAAAATGATTGTGTTTAGGGTTGCTCTTCCTACAAGGGCAAGAGTAATCTACGAAGATTTCCACTCATTCAGAAAGTCACCAACAGATATATTGTGAATGGTGATTGACAGATCCAATTCAGAGAACTCAATAAAGTGGGGAGGGGGTGGTAGATGCTGCAGTCCGGCCGCAGCAAAATAACCGGGGGGGTGACAAACAACTTGTGTACATTGATACAGCAGGAGTGGGAGACGTTTATTGTAGGACAGGAGCGGTATATATACATTCCACACAGCTTATCTTAATTAGCATAAACTAGATACAGCAGTCAACCAATAAGGAATCTCCACACTTAATGGCTCGCTGGAGTTACTTCACAAACCACTCCCTCTGGCAAAATGCCAGGCGCCATCCAGACTTGTTTACAGACTCTAACATTTGCCAGGCGCCATCCTGACTTGTTTACAGACTCTAACAGTAGATATGGTGTAACACTTTATTTTCCCAGCTACTTTCTTTTTTTCTTTTCTTTTTTTTTTTTTTTTTTGCCAGTAAAGAAGTAGTGATATCTTAAGAACTATCAAATTCCTGAAAATGACAGCTCAGTAGCTAACAGAGTCTGGCACACAGTGAGTGTTCTAGTAATATCTGCTGAATAAACCTTTTGCCTATTAACCCTTAACAAAAGCTTCTAGAGGTTGGTTTAAAACAAGCATTCTTCATCTACTTAAATAAAGAAAAGGCACCAGTTAGCATCCACTCCATGTGAATTAAAGCTCACTGAGGAGCCCAAGGGAAAGTGCTTGCTGTGATCTCTCACCATGAAGGTCTTGCCCTCTCTTTGCATGACCTAGTAATTTTTTATTCACATTCAATGTTAATTAATCAGTTCTGTATGAATTGGCTTCTATTCTATTTAGCCACTAAGCAGATTATCAACATTATAAAAATCAATTTCATGTCATTTTTAAGTGTTTAATATCATCTAATAACTTTCTATATCAGTATATTAATCACCTTGAAATAGAGGTTAAGAACTGTAAGTTGACCAAGTACTTGAACTGATGTCAAAGGTACACAAAGAACAGCCCCTGCACTGGACCGCTTATAATTCATTTAGAGACACAATATGTGACAAATTGTGTGACAATGTAATGTTAGGTCTACCACTGTCAGATTACTAGAACAGACAATGAATGCTTCATCTTTGCCCAAAATACCAATATATTTGGGCTGTACTAAAGTGGAAATAAATACCAAATACATCCTGTGTGTAGCTCAATACTCTGAGATGTGATAAGCGGGTCACAGCACTTAGAAGATTAGAATATGTCTGTTTAGCATAGATAATCTATATGGAATTTCAGTTGAACTAGAAGAAAATAAAAACAACTATTCTTTTTCTTCTTTTTTAAACATTAGGTCATGGAACTAAAGGAGTATTTGAGCTTCTGTCTGGATGGCGGAGAACCAAAGAGAATTTACCCTTCAAAGACAGGGTAGCAGATGCCTATTCTGATGTGATGGTCACCTATACCATGACCAGCTCCCTGTACTTCATCACCTTTGGCATGGGGGCCAGCCCATTCACAAACATAGAGGCTGTGAAGGTCTTCTGTCAAAACATGTGTGTCTCTATTCTGTTGAACTACTTCTACATTTTCTCTTTCTTTGGCTCCTGCCTGGTCTTCGCTGGACAACTAGAGCAAAACCGCTACCACAGCATCTTTTGCTGCAAGATCCCTTCTGCAGAATACCTGGACCGCAAACCTGTGTGGTTCCAGACAGTGATGAGTGATGGGCATCAACAGACATCCCATCACGAGACGAACCCCTACCAGCACCACTTCATTCAGCACTTCCTCCGTGAGCATTACAATGAATGGATTACCAATATCTATGTGAAGCCATTTGTTGTCATCCTGTATCTCATTTATGCCTCCTTCTCCTTCATGGGGTGCTTGCAGATCAGTGATGGAGCCAACATCATCAATCTACTAGCCAGTGATTCCCCAAGCGTTTCCTATACCATGGTACAGCAGAAATATTTCAGCAACTACAGCCCTGTGATAGGGTTCTACATCTATGAGCCCCTTGAATACTGGAACAGCAGCGTCCAGGAGGACCTCCAGAGGCTCTGTAGTGGATTTACTGCAGTGTCTTGGGTAGAGCAGTACTACCACTTTCTGAAAGTCAGCAACATTAGTGCCAACAACAAGAGTGACTTCATCAGTGTCCTACAAAGCTCATTTTTAAAAAAGCCAGAATTCCAGCATTTTCGAAATGATATCATCTTCTCCAAGGCAGGGGATGAGAACAACATCATTGCTTCTCGCTTGTATCTGGTGGCCAGGACTAGCAGAGACAAGCAGAAGGAAGTCATAGAAGTGCTGGAAAAATTGAGGCCCCTGTCCCTCTCCAAGAGCATCCGGTTCATCGTGTTCAACCCCTCCTTCGTTTTCATGGACCATTACAGCTTGTCTGTCACAGTGCCTGTTCTGATTGCAGGCTTTGGTGTTCTCCTGGTGTTAATCCTGACTTTTTTCCTAGTGATCCACCCTCTGGGAAACTTCTGGTTAATTCTTAGCGTCACCTCAATTGAGCTGGGCGTTCTGGGCTTAATGACATTATGGAACGTCGACATGGATTGCATTTCTATCTTGTGCCTTATCTACACTTTAAATTTTGCCATTGACCACTGTGCACCACTGCTTTACACATTTGTATTGGCAACTGAGCACACCCGAACACAGTGTATAAAAAGCTCCCTGCAAGAGCATGGGACAGCCATTTTGCAAAATATTACTTCTTTTCTTATTGGGTTGGTCCCCCTCCTATTTGTGCCTTCGAACCTGACCTTCACACTGTTCAAATGCTTGCTGCTCACCGGGGGTTGCACACTTCTGCACTGTTTTGTTATTTTACCTGTGTTCCTAACCTTTTTCCCTCCTTCCAAAAAGCACCACAAGAAAAAGAAACGTGCCAAAAGAAAGGAGAGAGAGGAAATCGAATGCATAGAGATTCAAGAGAACCCTGATCATGTCACCACAGTCTGAGGGGTGTAGACCGACGGATTGTTTTTATTTTCCAATATTGCACAACGATGCAGGGCGAGTAAAGCTCAGACCTCAGCTGCTTGGGCTGGCCAGGGGTAACAAGGCAAGTCAGAGCAAAAGCGCACACAATTCATGACATGTCCAAGGGTCTGCTTCTTGGGCCAGTGGGGAAGAGGGAATTAAAAGGGGTGGGGAGTTCTTTGCAACCTTGTTCTCCATGAAAGATAAATTTCTGGACATGATCTTAGAGCCCTTCAAAGAAAAGGATGAATCAATGAAGTGTTAAGATAGAAGGCCAAAAGAACCAACTGCTTTTATAAAGAAAAGGCTTAGGAGAGATGCAGAGAGAGAAAGGTGGCCTCCAAATAAGGAAAAAGACATAGGAAATGTCAAAATTGCCATGTCAGTTTTCATGTTTGTTTTTTGAACAGGTTGGTCAAAGGAAACCTATGCACTTGGGAAGTACATATTTAATCCCGTCTAAACCAAAGGACTTCCCGATCCATTTTATGTGTACATATATATGTATATATGCCATATATACATATACTTAGATTTGTCTTTATTGTACATTGATGTTTGTGTGGGGAAAGGTGTCCATTTGCAGATAGGCTGGCCTTTCTCTTGAAAGTCAAATCAGCTTTAGCCAAATATATAGATTCATTAATGGCCACTTAAAATTTATAGATCATTAATGACCATTTAAAATCAACTCAAATGTCTAGTCAGCAAGAGGGTTATTCAGCTGTGTGATAAGCAAGAAACAAAACAAAACAAAAAACAAAATGTGAATCCATTAGATTCTACCTATCATCAGTCATTGAGACTCTAGCTTTGGAAGACTTAGCAAAAAAAAAAAAAAACGCAAAAAGGCATTTGAATTAATTATCACATTGACAATGTTTAAAATCCCACATCAAAGCTAAGTAGTTCATATGGCTTTTCGTTGGCCTTAATAGTTATCTGGATTTGGAAGGTTGATATGGCTGCTTTGAAAGAGCTTACCCACCTGCAAATGAGCACTTTACACATGTTACCCACATATATGTGTTTAAGGGTGCACAAGTTTTGTGTGGTGTGTATGTGTGTATGTGTGTGTGTGTGTGTGTTTGACTTGGGGTATTCCATACTTATAGCATTCTTATTTTAGATGGTAAAAATATACTGCCATGGTATATAGGTAATTAACAAAGGAGAAATGAAACAACTAAGAAACACTGTAGAGTGAAATAGAGTAAAATGGACTCTCACCACTCATCACCCAGTAACAAATGGTTCTTAGTGTAAGGAAAGTATTCTAATGCTATAAACTCTAGTGTGTTCCTTGCATTAATATTTGAAACATTAACCCAGGCCATGATTGAAATATTAGTGATCACAGTAATTACTACAATATCATTTTGTAGCTTCTTGCAATATCATTGTTCTTGTTACCTAGAAAGTAGACTCAGTTACTCATAGCTCTCTACAGGTGGTATATTAACTGCAACTGCTGCTGAATTCTTTCTCAAAAAACAAAAACAAAAAACAACAACAAAAAAAACACTGAGGTAAACATTTCCATTGTGTTAAAGTTTTAAACTGTTCCCTTGCAGATAGAATTGGTCTGTTGGGTGCTTACTTGGATTAATGTTATGCTTCCTGTTGGAGAAAATTACTAGAAAATGCCTTTTTCCATGTCAAGCAGTAACATAATTTATTTCCAGGTAGGACAGAACGAATGTCCAATGAATAAAAAATCTGCTAGTAATTTTTGTCACCTAAGAAAGCTGCTGTGTCCCACCAACTTTGGTTGTACGTTTTAATAGAATTAATAATATTAATATCTAAAAAACCAAATAAGAATCCTAGCCCCGGATAAGTCAAAGAAGAGATACAAAAACCACTCCTTCTTACTATCGTCTTTGGAGATGAAGTTGATAGATTAATGAAGAAATAACAAAACAACTGTACTTTTTTAAATGGTTTACTAGAATATAAGGAGAATAAATTCTAGATTGAAAAACATTGAAATATAATATATTTATTGAATAGAGTTTGTTTTGTCCTACCTTAAGGTTATTGAGTTTCTAGTAGAAATGACCCATGTCTTCTCTGTTATGTTCATTTGGGCCCAACAGCAATACACTTGAGTATGGAAAGTAATTGCTCATAACCATAGAGTTGTTTTTACTCTTTTTATATGTGTAAAATCATATCACCAATAACCCTAGCCTTTTACCTCATGAACTGCTATGCTAGGACGAACTGTATGTGGACTAGTAAACCTCATGATCTCATATTAGAGGTAGAAATTTCTGAGGAGATTTTTGGTTTGGGTTTTAGAGTTGGGAGGCAGTCCTCTTCCATATATTACCTATCATTTGTGAAGTTTTGCTGTTTTATTTTGATTTTTGTTATAGGTTTTAGTGGGTTTTTTTTTTTTGGGGGGGGGTTGTTGTTGTTGTTTTGCCTCCCTTTCAAAAAATGGGAGGTAATCTAGGAAATTCCACTATCACTTCATTTCTTTCTATGGTATGCCATACTCCTTTCATTTTCACCTATTTTATTTAAGTTTGCTTTTGGGGGGTTGGTTTTTTCCTTGATTACCATAAGCCATTCCAGATACAAAAATGACTAGCAGGATGATTTAAAAGAAAGAATCAAGCATGTTCATTGCCAAATCATATGGTATATTCTAGAAAACCACCAGAGCAGTTCTAATGTCATATCTCCATCCAAACAGTCTTTGTGCGGATGGGGAATGTAACTTTATTCATTCAGGTTATGTCTTCAAAGACAAGTGTCTAAGATAAATGTGAATTTCTCATTGTTCAAGAGACTAGAGAGGTGGCATTTTTGAAGGGACATTATCTTTTCCAGAACACCATGGTACTCTAGAGAACTGTAGCAATAATTTACTGAAATGGAACGTCTTGTTCTGGAAGAGTTAATACACCACCCAAAATGCCTTAATCCTAGGAAGTAATTTAAGCTCAGAAGACTCTACCTGAATATCATCTGACCTTCCATCTTCACTGTGAAACAGGTAATTCCAAGAATTCTATTTATTGAATACCAAGATATATCCTAAAATATGAGATCATGATTTGCAGGGAGTCCCCAGCCTCAGCCTTTTTGGAAAGTTTGTGTGCACCTCTTTCTAGTTTTTCTAGTTTACTGTTATTGTTTTGTCTATTTGTGAAGTACTAACAAGTGTTCAAATTAGAAAATTATCTACTATTAACAGATGACCAATCAAATCCTAAAAGACAAGAAATGTGTGGGAAATATTTCAGATTTGTGGAATATTTTATTTAAATGAAATATGTTTTTCCTTTTGATTTTAAAAGCTTTCAAAATCCAAATTTTCTGTATTTAAACTGGAATGTTAATTTGTTCTCCCACCCCACTGGAATTTTAATTTGACATAGAAATACCATCTAAACACTACTCTCCACGATGTTAATAAAACTTCTAAGAGGTACTCACTTATGTTACAGAAAGAAATTTGGCTAACAATTAGATTCCCATCCTCTATGTAAAAGGCAGTCAGCAGCTAATTGACACCCTGCTTGACTCTTTGATGAAAGGTGTGATTAGGTGTCCTCTCATGAATCCTTGCAGTGACCATGAACCTCTTTGAAGACTGTGCAATAATATTCTATGACAGAATTATTCTCTGTGGTCGTATCTTGTGAGTGTCTCCCTCTAATTTGCTTCCCATTTATTTCCACAGAAATAAATTCAAAGGTCTTATCTTGTGATTGAAAAGAAAACCTATAACAAGATGCTCCTATGATGCTATAATAGCCATTCTTGTATGTTGAACTCAAGAGTATGAGAGCTTTGTCCATTTTGTAATTATCCATTGTACTTTCCCATAATAAGCTAATCCTTTTAAACTTGTGGTTAGAGCTAGGGATTGACGATTGCCATTCAGATTTACATGTATTTTTATAAGTTGACTGTAAATATCGTTATTACAGTCACATATTTTTATGATCAAATAGTTATAAATGCACGGCACTATGCATGCATTGTTACTAATAGTACATAGATTATTAAAGACACTATTTTCAGGGTTATTGCACCTTTTTTTTAATTCCCATATCACTTATCATAAATGCCTCATGGGTTTTGGTCTCAAAGGCCTAAAGTCCACAGAAAGTTCCATCTTAAGGAAAACAATTTGAAAATTGCCTTTCTTGGATGTCAATACCAGTCACCTATTCTAGAATGTCCTCTGGAAAATCCCAGGGGCTACATCTGGCTTCCAGGTAAAGGTCTTACCTGGTTTGACATTAACCATACTTTCATGTCCTTTGTTTGCTAAACATAAGTGAACCAGAGGATATGATACCTTGAGACTGGAATTTAGATATTGTCTCCTAGGGACCCGGGAATTCAATGATTTGGTCAACCTCCTACCTGAGGGATCTCTCTGTTTGTTGTTCGTTGGTGTTTGTACATAGTATTGATAATCCTTTCAAATGTGAACCTGAAAACTTTCATTTTTTTCAAAGCAGCTTTAAAGTTACTTTCCTTTCTGTTATCAAAAAAATTATGAGAAATTTTATGACATTGACTCAAAACTTATCAATGGCCAAGTTGTTATGCCCTTGAAATCTCCCATAATCTAAATACAAAAGTCAGCATCAGCATTGTGGCCCATTATGCAAGCCTTTTAAGCAATGATCTTCAAATATTTTGTGTAGGGAATGAAGATGCTAGATTTTTTTTTTTACTGTTTAGCCTTGAAAACAACTGTAATGATATTGACTGAAATGAAAGCAGCAATGTGAAAATGAAGCAGCAAAGCCTCTTTGTATGAAGTCTGGCATGGGAGACCTGTGTACAGATGGTGGCAGATAATTCCATTGGTTCTAATGGACCAAGGTTCATCCACCATCATGTTTTAGTGAGGAGGGCAAGAGTTGGTGCTCTGTATTGAAATGTGGTGGAGTTGGGTTAGATTATGTTTGAGGTGAGTAATTCTGATAGGACAAGTGAAATAATTCTGTATATTTTATGGTTTTGCATATAGCACAGAGAATCAGATGGTGCCTCAAAACTACAGCTTCTTAACTGCAAGTGATTATTTGCAAATATAACCCACTTGAAGACTGTGTTCTCATTTGTTGGATCAAACCCCGAGCTTTTCAAGGAAAGTGTTCCTGAATTTCTAAGCAGGAAACAAAGCCACAGACCCATTTGTGAGTGAAAATGAGAAGGCAAGGGGACTATGAAAAGAGACTTCAAATAAGTGTTGAGGAACACATTATTCATCCCCAGGATAGCTGTCAGTATTGCTTGGATTTGGGAAGTTTTTTTGAGACAAACCGATCCATTGTTTTGATCCATTTTCTCTGTACTTAACGAGGACCTCTCTGTTGCTAAATGTCACTTGCTTTTATTGTGAAATGGGAAACAATTCAAAGAGAGCAATATATGAGATCAAGTACATACACACAGTATAGACAGTCTATGAATCACATCTTATCCCCTCTGCATCTCTAAAGATGTTGTCAAAATAAAACAGGCTTAGACTCTATACTGGAAACCTCTATTAGATAGATATTTTTAATACAAAGAAGTGTTTATAAATAAAAGCATTGCTAATTTTGCACTTTTATAAAGTATAGAAAACAACCTACTATTTTTCCTAGGTGAATTTTCCCTAAGAAAACTCTCATATGTCATGCTAATCATGAAGTCTTAAAAATCAGAAGGAAGCTTTAGAAGCAGAGCAGTAGGAATAATCCACTGCTTGTGGGTGATTTCTGCTCTTTACTGTGTTAGTGCTTATCTGAGCTGGAGTTTTAATAAGCCATTTGTCATTGTGTTCTAGTTTCCCACAAAGCTTATGGCATGGCCCGATATGGATTTCTTCCCTTCTGTTTTCACAGTTATTAGAGCAACCATGTTATCCACAGGGCTCTGTCAAACCAGTGAAGAAGTGATACTTTTAATGCTTTGGGAAGATTTCATTGAAGAATTTCCTAAGAATAACTAGGAGAGACTGTCATAGGTAAAAGATAAAGGAAATTTATCTCAAATGTGTCACTTTCCAATTCTGAATGGATTTAACTTGGATTCTTAGTAAAGGCAGTCTACAATATGTTGTGGGATACATTTAAGCTATCTAAATGTGAGATGGTTGATAGACTCTTTCCCTGAAAACTGAAGTAACTTCCAACGTTGCATTCAGTGGATTCACTGGTTATTAGTAGCTACAGGAATAGTGCTGGGGGCTGGAAAATCAAACTGTCATATTCTTACATCTCTGGTATGGTTTGCAGCACCTGTTTTGATGCAGAATCATGAAATGCCAGCATCTTTTCTTAAGCATAAAAGTGTTAGGCACTGATAAATTAGACCTTAAACTCACCAGTACAAATGTTCCAAATTTGGGGCAGAAAATAAGCAACAACTTTATTATATTTTCCTGTTACTTTTGCATATGTTTCAGCAATAGACTATCTTGCTCTTAAATAAGAAATCTGTCACAGCTTGAAAAGGGCAGAGATATCTCCAAGCTACCTCATAAGGATATTCAAAGATAAAATGGCATGCAACCTTTGATTAAACGGCAATATATTAAAGCCACAAAGCAATATTACTTATCACCTCTCCTGATGCTCTTTCACCTTGTAATTTTAGACCAAACTAAATGTAAAATGAACTTCCTATGTGCAGTCCCACTTGTACATTCTGCTTAGTATAATATTAATATAAGATTGCTCAGGGCAGTTGTTCAGTTGTCTCTCTGAAGACATCCTGGAGCCTAAAAATTAGCTCAGAAAGAGAATAACCTAACACTGACTTCGAGGCAGTGGTCTACCTAGAGAGATGCAGTATCAGATAATCAGCAAGTAACTTCTGTGAAAAGTCTAAGTGCACTTCTTACCAGTGGAGGAGAAAAATTATTTGTTTTTTTAACTATCCTGAGCAAATATAAAGAGAAAAAGTGAGCAGTAAGTAGCATCATAAGCTTTCTTTTCCAATGAAAGGCATTGCTACTATTTTTAGCTAAACCAGGATACTGAAACAGGTCACTTGAAATCAGTGAGGAAAAAACTACTTCATGAATGCATAGATGAAACGTAGGAGTAGAAGAAGAACTTGAGCATGTGTATTTCCTTTTCTTTCCTAAAACAAAATTCTACTTGTTCTGGATACTAACTAAACAAAATGATAATTTCTAAAACAAAATTAAGAAGACAAAAATAAGGTTGAAATTATGATATTCCAGTACCCCAAAGAGTCAACCTCATGGAGAGCTACCATTTCCAGATATCTCTGCCCATAAGGACATTCTTTCTATAATGTTCTAGTACACATAGGTTTTTACCACATCCTGTTCTTTAAAAAGAATTTTTTAAAAAACAGATTTATTTATCACTCCCAAGATGTATAAATAATCTAGTAAGCCATTTAACCAATTTAAACTCAAATTTATAGCTCCATACTTGGGCTTTACAAAAACTAAATCTACCATATTGAGGAAAGTTTAAAAAGAATTTTGGACAAAAATTTCAGTATCAGAAAAATATTACCTAAGCTGTATTTCTATTCAAAAATTCAAGTACCCATTTTAGATCTTACAAAGAAGCAAAAAGATAAAATTAAATTAAAAAGTCCAAAGTTTCCAAGTTACCTGAATTTGGACTATTATTAAAATTTACTTCTAATTATCATATGTAAAAAAATTAATTATAAATTAGGATTTTCTGATTATAATAAAAATAAGTTCATGTTATTTCCTGTAGATTCACACATATAAATATACATTAATAATTGAATAAATCTCACACCTCAACCAGGGAAGTTATGTTCCAAATATTTCATTTTCATACCTTGGACATATGGAGATATAATTCTAGTAGAATTCCTAAGTATTATTTTGCTAAAGAAATCTATGAATTAAAGCCTAAAGGTAAAGTCTTAAGAAAAATAACAATAAAGTCTTAGCTATTTGGGAAAATGTCATGTTAAACTCATGTTATATTTACTACAGTACCAGTTGGCGAAATTACTTATAGCATTTCTGGTTATCTTGGCCTTTTATTTCAACAGCATCATCAAAAATCTAGTTCCATTTGGACATAACAAGAAACAACTAGTATATTAAAATAGTGATAGGTCAAAGGGTATTTTTTTTACTCTTCAGTTGCTGGGGTCCATTAATTTTTGCCAATTTTCTCTTGATCACAACCCCAAATGCTATAGAAAGTGGGCCATTCTTAGACCTAGCACTCCTTCATTTGTAACTATCAACATTAAACAACCTGCAACAAGGCTTATTCATTTAACTTCAGTGAGATTTCTGGGATTCATATCTTTTAGGGAAAGATTCTTTTAGGCTAGGCATTAAACTTCTGAACTGTAACATCTCATATCACAGTATGATATAACATAATCTATTCTTTTTAATTCTTTATTAAATCACAGGTTCTAAAAATTATGTCATATCCTTTAAAATTTTTTAAATACATGCATTAAAAATAATATAATGATGACATTATATCAATTATTTTACATGCTTGAGATAAAGCTTTATTCAAAAAATACAAAATTCCTTTGGCACCTAAGAGATTTTTTAAATTTCTAAGTTCATAAATATATTTACAACTGTAAATTAGTAAAGTATTACTTGAGTACCCCAATAATTGTATTAAATTCAAATTTAAAACAATTTATAATTGGTTCAAATAAATTCTACTTAAAACTTACTGGATTACATTGCATTCCTATAGTAACATGGAGTGCAAAAATGTTTCAACTATTATTTTTCTCACCATATGAGAGCTACAAAAGGTATTGACAACAATAAATAGGTCAGTGACTCCTAAGTAGTACACAGGACTTACAAAGTCCATTCCTTATCCTTCTCCCTATACAGTTCCAAGTCTAGGCAAAATTATTCGTGTGTTATCAGCAACCACTTCTAAGTCATTAAAATTAAGAATGTTAAAATTTTGAATATCCAACTCTGCTGTATTCTGATGAGTAATGTGTTGATGACATTATAAGAAATACATAGACCATCAATATTTACAGAATATAAGTGTACTTGACACCAGAATTATATTGAAACAATTTAATAACCCACAATCCACTTTAGAAGCTTGTCATTGCAGAGTCATCTTCATTATTAACATCATTTGCATAACCAGGGAAATCTGTCTAATAATGTTTTATTTCATACGAGTTTCCCATCTGCTTTAAAAAAAATGGATGTCCTTGTTCTTTTATGGAAATATTTGAATTTATTCATTAGCCATTTCCTTGTCTGAATTTAGTAGTTGAATCATTAATGTATTTTGCTTTCTCCTTTAATATATTTAATTGTTATCATTTCTAATATAAATTTCCTCAGAGCAATTAGCACGTGCTTTCCTCTGGTAAAAATGAGCACACCCACAAAAGGGTGAAATGAGAATTTGGCAAAATCCCAATTGGACATGTGAACATATCTGCAGACACCAAAGTTTGGGGGAAGTACTACTCATTGTTATTTTATATGCATCAAGCAAAAACAAATCCCTACTTTTTAATAATGAAAGTTGTCACAGCACAAGATATTCTACTTAGCACACACTCAGTTATTATCTAATCAATGAACAAATAAATTAAAGAGTCATCCAGTCTCTGGCTTGTGACCCAATGAAAAGTGAATTATTGAACCGTCTCAACCTGTAAGGGAATATACTTGGAAGATTTAGCTGTTGTGTTTTGTTTTCTGAATTCTTTCTCTTTGGCTAGTAATACAAAAATAAGAGACCATATAAAGTAATAATTTCAGGTTTGTTGATATTAATTGTCCTTTTCAATAAGTTGAAATATTAGAACATAGATATAACATTACATAGCATATTGATAATTAAGTAAAGGGAATATTCTTTGACATAGAAAAATATCAAAAGATAGGGATGATTTTAAAATATATATACATATTAGTAAAAGAAATTTTAAAACTAGTGCAAAATGTTTTAAAAGAAGAGTAAATATCTGAACAAAAATTTGGTTTTATTTGGTTTCTGATTTCTGATTATCAATTTAACTTGACTTTTTTTAGTAAACCCATTGAAGGGAGTCAGAAAATATTTTTGGTAGATATAGATCTCCAAACAGAGAATCACTTGTATTGCAGAATTAAATTCTGCTATGGATGGGCTTCTGAAGCACTCCTCCATTGCTCTGGATTATACTTATTTCTCCAGCAAATATTTGAGGGTATCTATATTGGTTTCTATACTAGGCTTACAGAAAAATACCACAGTCAGTGCTCCTGTCTTTAAGGTACATATGCTGTTGTGAGGAAATTTCTGTCTGGGATGTTCCAGAAAAGTGAGGAAGGTATCAACCAAATTGAAGCTTGAATAAGATTCTAATAAATAGAGATATAGAATGGCCATCACAAAGGCATGGGGTCAGAATTGAATAAATGAGAACATGCAGACTAGAAAGCAGGCTGTCCAGAGTGAAGGCTTTAGTACATGAGATAATAGGAGCGCCAAGGAGAGTGGATATTGGTGGGACTGGAAAGCAATAGTCTATTGTGAGTGGTGTTATAAAAGATTGCCAGAATTTGGGAGCTGTTCAGAGTTGAAAATGTGATCATGGATAAAAACTTTTTCACTGCATTTGGGCTTGAAAACAGTGAAACGTTTACACAATATAAATGCCATGGTCTCCATGGTATTTATATTGTGCAAAATACATTTTTGTGTTTTGTCTACTAACATCAAGGATTCCAAAACTTAGCAACCTTACATAAATTGATAATCCCTATTGCTCAGAATATAGTGGGTTGCAAGAGCCAGTTTGTATGAGTTTGATTCTCCTGGTGATAGAAACCACTTTGTTCTATCATAGATGCCACAATTACCTGATCATCTCATACATACCTAGTGGCCCTTAAAATCTAGAGGGAAAGACTGGAATAAATCAATCGGATCCTAAAACCTCCAGGAAAAACAAACATAACTCTCAATCATTTCTGTTAATATTATCTTTATTGACAATTCAAATAATGTCTGGCTTGTAGAGTATGCACTATTATTTCTAAGTTCTAGTTTGTTTTAAGAAGATTAAAATGTAAATAAGTCTTATGTCCCAATGGTACAACGCATCATCAGTACAAGAGTTGCCAGAACAGAGAAGTTCAAGTGCAAAGTCCATGTGATGATAAATAACTGCATAGATTTTCTCTCCTGCCCCCTACCTACATTCCTTTTCTAAATGCAAATTTCTAAAGACAAAGCATTGGTTAAAACTATTTTTTTTAAATCACTTGCTTATGATTCACTTCTACTTTCTTTGGAAATCACAGTAAAGTATAATATATGTACATAGTTTTTGAATATAAAATTAACTCATTTATATACTGACCTTTGCCTTTTTTGTAGTTAGAGTCTTAGTTATAATAATTGGTGCTCCCAAAAAACAGCAATCAGGGTTACAAGGAAGTTTGGAGAAATGTATTTTAAACTTTAAACCTGAAGTTAAGCATTTCTCAGGGATGACGCTCAGAGTTACAGATAAGGTTGGAGTTGGTTCAGGGAAGCCCTATTTTGAAGACAATTCAAGAGGCCATCTGTTCACAGAGTTGGGAAAAACAAAAGTTACCAACTAAGTAACCATAGGAGACTGCAGCCAATGGCAAGCTCCAAGAGACTTTTTGGATAATCTCTGTATTAGCACAATCAGTGGTCCTCAAAATCTGCTGATATCAGAATAATATACAGAGATGTTTAAAGTCCCAATGCCCTGACTGCTTATCAGAACAATTAAATCAGTAACTCTGGCAGTGCATCCTGGTCTCAGTAATTTTGTAAGCACCCCATGTGATTCCAATGTGTGGCTGAATTTGAAAAACAGTGGCTTAGACCACCAAATTTAATCCAATAAATTAAACACTTCAAATCCAATAAATACTCGTTACGTTGAATGAAGATAAAATGTCACAAGACAAAGAAACATATGGCATCCATAATTAGAATACAAGTAAAAACTTGTAGAGTCTCAAAGGAGATACTCAATTATGGAGAGATTATTTCCAGTATAGCCAAATTCAGTGGGAGAACTTGCAAGAGTTTTTAATCTGAACATTCCAAATGATGTGACCAGCTGGAGCAAAGCCATGAAGAAAAGCACAGAATGTGTTCCCAGATCAATGAATGCAATTTAGTTGAGCATACATTACCAGTAGAAGAGTTGAATTTGCACAACTTGAATGTTCAATATAAGAACTCTCGAATGTCATGTCAAAGAATTTACATTTCATTTAGTGGACTCTTGAATTGCTTTTTAAAATTATTACTACCATCAAGATTAAGAAATATCAATCTACATTGATGAGTTTAGGACAGGTAGGAGATGAAAGACCTGAACCAAAGACATAAATTAGAAGGATATTATTGTCACCAATGGAAAAGGTAATAACAACCTGAAATAGAGTTGTGGCACTGAACATAATAAAGAAAGAAGTGAATAAAATTAATACTGTGGCACAAAAATCCCTATCCATAACATAATCTCAACACCCAAGAAGTTTTAAGTATCCAGAGTACCAGCCTATGATATCCTACAATAGAATGTTATTTTATCTTTATAGAATGATTGATTTGTTTCTCTGCATATTTAACTTAAGAAAAATTTAACATTATGGACACCATTTAAGTATAGTAAATAAAAAATGAGTCAAAGAGGGAGGAGGAAATAATTCTAGGAAAATAGGTATATCTTGGCCGCCTTTTATAAGATTGCTGGATTCCCAGGTATGTGATACTTATAGGTATGTGTATTAGCTAGCAAATCTACAATAATATCTAAGTTAACCTACAGATATAACCATCAACTTAATTAGCAAATTTTTCTCTAAATTTGTTTTCATTTTAGGGAATTTAGCATTTCAGGTGATTTATAATTAGAAACAAGACTTAGAAACTCGTTCCTCTTATTATTTGAATCTGGTCTCTAGTCGCCTTCTCTGAAAGTTTCTGTAAGACATATACCTTTCTTCCATCATAAATATATGGCTTTATTATTTTAACCATCAGCATTGGCTAATGTTAAATATGTATGTAAAATGTAACTTTCACAATATATCCTTACATATAGCAATTACATAATTCAGTAGACCATCTTAAATATCAAATAAAACAAGAAGGATTTGGTAAATACCAACTCTGTGGAGAAAATGCTAAGTACACTCAAACCCCAGAGCATTTGAAGATCTTTTTGTTCCATCAAGAATTGTTACTTCAAGTCAGAGTGGCTTCAATAGTGGCAAAATGCAACGTACTTTTTGTACATTAGATGTGTACAATGAATTCGGTAGTAGCATACCAGAGAATATTTAATTTCCCAAATACATTCGACCATGAGATATTAAGTTCATGGAACACCTCAGAGGACAGTGTTCCGTGGAGTGAATTTTATATGATTTTTTTAGAAGTTTATCTTTGTTACCAAAGTGCAGATGG